GAAAAAAACAGTTTAAACCATTTAAAATCTGTCCTCCAAGTTGAAGAAAGAATTATGACGCATCGTGGTGAGAGCAGAGTTTTTCGGAAATCCTCAAACCGATTATCTTTCTAACAACCAGAGCAACAATTAATATAGGTACATGGAATGTTCGGACAGTATAAAAGGCCGAGAGCACCACTCAAATAGCTACAGAAATGAGGCGATACAACTTGGTGGTGCTCGGAATCAATCAAATTCATTGAACCTAATGCGGACAGTAAAGGTTAGATCTGGTAGAGATGCTATCGTACTCTAGTCATGAAAAACAAAATGCTCCATACACTCAGGGAGTTGTTCTGATGCTGTGCAAAGAAGCACGAAATGTTCTTATAGCGTGAGAATCTGATGGACCCAGGATCACGAAAAAATCACTTAAAACAATGAAGGAGGGAATAACAATAAATGTTACACAATGCTATTCACCCACTAGTTTTATGAGAGTCCACAATCGATCATAGTGAAGTGCCCGAAAAGTGACCTGACTATTTCGATCAGAGACCTAAACGTCAAAGATGGAATGGACAACACCGGGTATGGAGATATCATGGGACGACATGGACTGACTAGAAGAAAGGGACGTGAATGGGTACAGATTTGCAAATCTGTACGCATTCAACAAAATGATTATAGGCAGCAAAATATTCCCACACAAACGCATACACTGGATCACACTACACAGAACCAGGTCCATCATATTTGCATCACTAAAAAATTCAGAAGGTCAATAGAGGACGTCAGAACTAGGAGAGGAACTGACCTCGAAAAGGTGCTAAGACCTTAATAAAAATTAAGGATTTCGGCGCATTGTTCTCTTGACGATGAGACTATGATTTATGGACGATCTTTGAACGATATTAAAGAGACCTTCAGAATGTCCAACTACATACTACGGTTAAATGAGGGTTATAAACTAATGTGAGGAATTAGGAGTAATACTTCCAGTTAATAGTTAGGGTTAGGAATCAGATATAGTGTTTTCATTACAAACTGACACCAGCTATATTGCCAAAACTCTATTTAGACAAATGAATACATCGATTTCGCGCCAAAATCTATGCTCTGTTGTAATAAATCTGATTGGTTCGTCCATAAATTATAGTGTCGTCCATTTCAACAAGTTTCCATTTCGTATTTCTTGACCGATCTTGATAAAAACATATTGAATGATCGTCAGTTAGAAGTTAGCAGTCCAGTCAATCGACGTCTAGATCATGTACATTCTTTAGGTTGCATATTGCCAACAATTACGAAATCTCTTATTGGGACTTTTGTAACTTGCATAACGAAAGGTTATGTGATCAATAGCTATAATGATGTATTAAAACAAATAAAATTAGATAACTTGTTGAAATATCTAGATGATAGGAACATGAAGCCCAGATATTCAAACAGGCCGCCATAACATAAACAAACTCTGCGCTTCATGTTATTTTAGTAATAAGTCATGAAAACTACAATTACGAATATAAGTTATCTGTAACTCAAATACATTAATAATTTAATATATTAAATTCGACTATGTGATGAACTGCATTTACTGTCTACTTTTATTGCCAGTATTCACTTGTAATGTTTTATTCCAAAGAAGATGGATAGTTGCTAGCAGTGGAATCGAGGATGCGTGTTACGTTCTATTTGGGACTAGTCAGCTGGATGTACCTGCATCTCGTAATTGATGTTCACTCTGGTACTTGAACTCAGTACCATTCGCTTCAAACGCCAAAGGGTTATCCACTTGGCTACTGAGTCCTGATAGCCATTCTCTTGTGCAATGGGGTGAATTTATATTCACTTGGTGATGTTCACTTGTATCTTCTTATTGTTGTTTAAGACTGTAAATGATCAGTCTTTCATTAGTATATATGAACCCTATGCAGACTGTCTCGAAATTGCCTTAAGTCACAAGCAGTATAGGCAAAGATGGATGTTTATGGATTAAGGTAATATTGAGTCAATACTCACAGGATGCACATATACCAATAAGAGGTTGATCAATTACAGTACTAATTATCAATAGGAAGATTCTAGTAAACAATATCAAGTGACTCAAATGGCTCAGTGGTCCAGTTGGTTAAGCGTTCGCGCGCGAGACCGAAGGCCTTGGGTTCGAATCTCGTGAGCGGAATCATGGATGCGCACTACTGAGGAGTCCCACAATAGGACGAAACGGCCGTCCAGTGCTTCCAAAGGTGGTGGTCTAACATCAATCGGTTCATGATCTCAATCAAAAACTTAATAATCTCCACATCCCCTATACTAGTAATATCAAGTGAATTTAACATTTATAATAACTGAAATTATATCGATTGAAATGTTGGCTTAATCTTATGTTTGTATTTTTACACAAAAAAAAATAAATTCTTTACAATATATCTTTGTGTTTATATATTTGAATACATAGTTTAAGAGGAAATAGGACCAATGAAGAGACAGTAGGTTTTAAATACAACCAACCGTCTTGATGTTCAAATAGAATTTATCAGTAAAGTAGTGGCTGACATGGTATCACTTGATAGATAGATAATTATTTATGGATTGTCAGATGTTGATTGAGATCGTGAATCGATTGAGTTTAGACCACCATCGAAAATCTGGAAACATTGAACAACCGTTTCGTCTTATCATCGGATTCCTCAACAGTGTGCATTCACGACCTCGCTCGCGGGATTCGAACCCAGAGCCTTCGGTCTCGTGCACTAACATATAACCTCTAGACTACTGAATCAGTTGTCATCTAACAATGTTAATGTGTAACCTCAACCAATCCACGAAATCGATTATTGTGCAGTGATAATTTCCGACTCCTTAATTAATTTCATTTAACTAATCAATTTGAGTTAGTTAAGAAGGTTAATCAATCATAATTCATAAAGAACACCATATTCGATGAATATGCCAAGATAAAATTAATAAAGATGAATTGTAAATTAGCTGAAATACTTATTGATATGAATCATAGTAAATAAGATTGAACATTGAATATATAATTCAATAAAACAAAATGAAATGATATTGAAAATGAAGAGTAAATTCAATTGAATTATTATAATCATATTAATTTAAACCTTCAACCATTGATCATGATCATTTTACTGATCTCAACTGAATAGTTTGTACTTACCAGTATCACTTATTTTAAAAGTCAATGTTTACATGCATTTATCCTACGTCATGGTTGGATAAACTTTAACCTACTTCTCATTTATTCTTGTTCTAGACAATACTACACATTGAATTAAGCAGGGATTAATCGTATATTCATAAGAAATGAACAGTATCTGTTACTCATTTATTTTAACCAGAGTATGATTACTGGTGTTTATTTTATGGTGAACCATCTAACATAAATCGTAATTGAATTATGAGGAACTAAAATGGGATTCTTTATTAATTGTATGTATATAGTTATAATTAAATGGATTAGTTGTACGACTTTTTCTCTCCATATTTATGTAAGAACAAAACTGTTTGGTGATTTACTTATTTCTTTAAAATAGTATAAATAGAGTGGGAAAAAACCAATGTAGCCACTTTATTTAAGTTATTTAACAGTTGAGTTCATGAGTTAATTGACAGTAGACTACCGTGGAAAAGTTGGAATGTACTGAAAGGTCGTTTCGTCCTACTGTGGAACTTCTCAGCAGTGTGTATCCACGATCCTGTCCAATGGGATTTGAACCCAGGATCTATCAGCGAGTTTAAATTTTTAAAAATATTATTCACTATGAGCTAATTGATATTAATTAGGTCAATATTTTCATTCATGTTTTTAATTATTTGGTAAGTGGCAAAGAAAAGATTCCATAGTGTTATGCCCCGATAAACATAATAAATGGTAACTGTTGGGATTTATTTATGGACCAATACTATGAGTATATTTTTGTCGTATAATTGTTCAATCACTAAACTGTTCATATTCATGCCCCTCTTATTATGAACTTTATTTAGTTCTATGAACTATTATTGTACGATTTACCATTCTTGAATTATGCCATGTCTATCAATTGCTATCTCCATTATTCATAGCCACATTTGGCTAATTCTTGTACAAATGTTATTTTCTATTTTATGGCACGTTGTGGTCTGTCTGGTTGATATATAAACTCAGTATTCTTGATATATATGATTCATATAGAGGAGGCTGAGACTGATGTTCTGTACTTAACAGGCAGAACTAGGCAGGAACAATAAATACTCTAGACTGCTCGTACGGGTATGGTATGATGAAGTCTGTTTGCCTTGTATATAAACCAGTTGTTTGAAATCAATGATTCGCATAATGGAAGCTGTTATTGATGTTCTGAACTCAATTGGACGAGGTTAGGCGAACAAAGAATCAATAAGGACTGCTAGACTGCTCACACTGATCGAACGTCGTTGATTTAGCACAGTACTAAGATTGTATAAATTGTATTTCAATTGACGAATAAATCACATGACAACTAGTTATCCTTTAAAGACACAATCAATTATCAATATATATATATATATATATATATATATATATACATTGATGTAATCATGATTGAAATTATTCACAATCATTTGTATTATGTATTTAAACCATATAATGTGGTGTGTACTACTTATATTGACATAAGTAGTAGATGATGTTAGTCGTGAACAGAAGGTCTGGCAGCAGAGAGATAAGAGGATCGAACAGTAAAGAATGAAAACAGAAAGCGATTTGTATGAAATTGCAAGAACAATGAAGCCTGAGTGATTATGAGACAATCGATGGACATTTTGCAAATTAAGCATTTACTTTACGATTGTTCGATTTTATTAACACGTCCTGTACTGCTGTGTCAAATACATTCGATTGTTCCCCACTGATGTTCATGTTCACTACAACAGTTATAGAATAAGAAAGAAGATTTATCTCATCACATCTATTTCATTGTTTTTTTCTTTTCTTTCTTTTTATTGTTGTTGTTTTCTTTTTGTTTTTCTTTTAGATTTTAGCTTTATTATTATCATTAATTAGTATATTATTATTTATTGTTGGCTCAGTCAGTACATCATGGATTCATATTCATTTTAAATCAATTGGTTTATTTCAACAATGTGATAGTCTATTAAAACAATTCAATCTCAATCATAATAATGATAAATTATTCATGAATACAGATAATAATGAATCAAATGAGATTGAAAAAATTTGTCAATTTCGTGATTTCCTAAATGGTAAGTTGTTCTTCTTCATAGTTGCTATTCAATAGAATCTTTAAATTTCATAATTATAGTTCATTTTGATAATCGTTATTACATAATATCCACCCACCCACACCAATGGTATATGAATCAGAAAGTGAATACAAAGTGTTAATTACACTTATTATTGTACTATGTACAGATAACCCACATTTACAGGTACACTAAGCAAGTATGAAAGAGTAGTGTCAAAAAGCAATCAGGCAAGCGAGTCAGCGCGGGAGTCGAATGAACGAGAGAGTCGATGAACAAGATTAATATATAAACATAGGGAAATCAGTGAATCATTGAATCAATTGAGCGACTAATAGTAAGGTTAGCAGAATGAATATATGCGTTGGCAGTAAGTAAGCAATGCTCAACCATACATATTCATATAAGTGTAATAATAATAAAAAAGGTACAATGATACAAGATAAGTTGTTATTGTACGGATGACTCTATCCGTTAAATAAGTTAACAAGAGGGTTTAACCGAATTAAATATGAACAAACTCAATGACATATGAGCTGATATAAATTAATCATAATTAAATATTGTTCTGAATTTCAGGCATTCTTATATTTCCAGCTTGATAGGATCACAAATTTGTTTTACTATTGTTATGCCTAGAAACTTAGATTCTTAATATATCGCGTATAACTTAAGCACTCGAATGCTATCAATCCTCCCAAAGTCATAAATAAGAAGATAGCAGAAAACTAGAGAAACTACTTTTTAAAAAACAGTCAAAATGTACAGAAAATTATGGGTATTTATAGACATTAGAGTTTATCAGATCAACATTATAATTCAACCAATCAACGAAGACGCATGTTATACAACTAACCAATAGTAGCATATCACGTTGATATTCTAGAAAGTCCCATTGCTTTCTGATAGGATGGAACTCTTCAGCTTCTCTGGGCCTCTGAAGGTTACGTCGTACTTCTAGTAAGTCATCCCAATAACTCCGATCTAATGGATGATATAATTCTCGATCAATAATACGATAACTGGGAAATCCTAATACCCATTGGCCAGAAACGTTGCTCCTTTTCTCCCCCGATAACTAATCAGAACAAATTGATAAACATATTATTATGATAATTCATTTACCAATATGGCTAAATAGAGTCTTGGCATTATAGCTGATGTCAGTTCGTGATCAAAACCATATATCTTATTCCTAACCCTAACCATTATCTATTCTTCAAACTGTTTCATAACATTCATTTAGCCCTAATAAGTAGATAGACACTTTCAAGGTCATTTTAGCGTCACTCAAAGGTCGTTCATAAATTATAGTTTCATCCAGCATGAAAGTACAACAAATAATTACACCATGAAAATAAATATATAAATAAATTCATTATATAACAATCTGAAAAGTTTCACTTTCTTCAAATATCCTCTTCAATCGAACAAATATTATTGAAGATGATTTGTGTGTTGTGTTGTTATATTCAATCAATCATTTAGAATTAATACTATTCTCATTTGAATATTTCTAGGTTCTAATGTATGAAGAATCAAAACATTCAGTTAGTATGAAAGTAGAATTGAACATAGACTAGTTAAACTGGATAACTGATATAAAATATGACATCTTAACGATGAAAAGTAATTAAGGTAAATAAGAATAGAGGCAGGAATTTGATAAGAATATTTATATCAATGAAAGACAATGATATAAGTAAACAGTATACACAACACTTTACTAAATAAAATGCCCCCAAATGCCTAGTATGGCCGAGAGTGGGGTGGGCCCGCCCTCCCTCTCGAAACGCCCTCACACGGCCACGCGTATATAGCCTCTGCCAGGGAAGTCCTACTCACTGCCTTCTCGTGGTGGGAGTGTTGTTTACGAAACTGAGAGGACGAAAAGCGAATGTCCGGCGCTTTAGCCGGATTCCAAACCAATGGTGAGCATGGGCTCCAGTATCCTGCGGGAACAAATGGCGCATGAAACAATCGTTGTTCACTGGCTACCACAGGAATGCATCACTTCACGATGCTCCACTGCCTTGTGGATTAGACCTTTATGTCAAAGGCTCGGGGTGCAGCCCCCTAAGAAAACTACCTATTTCGGTCTGGGCACGCGGGCAGTATCACAGCCCCCCCCCACACACACAAATATGGTGTAGCGCATATATATTTAGTTCCCTGTTGCACCAATATTTATGTGTTAAAATAATAAAATAATAATAAATAAAATGGTCAATAGTAATCAATATGAATTATATGGCAATGCCACATTACAAATCTTATATGAAATCAAAATGTAGAAGGTTTCAACAACAACAACAACAAATCGTAAACGTACTGATATCGATCAACATTAACAGATATTGTAGTGAACAAGAACACGAGTGGGGACAATCGATCATATTTAGCACAAAAATTACAGACTATCTCAATAAAATGTGAATACCATAAAGTCAATCGTCAATTTGCAAAAATATCATTCCATCATATCAAACTGTACTGTTCCCGTTGCAAACACTAATCCATTGTCTTCCATTCATTGTACATGCGTTTTCTTACAATTCCATTGTGCTCTTGCTCTTCCTTTCTTGATCTTCGCCATCTTCTGCTGCCGGACATCACGTTCTTTTAACCGACGTAATATACTACTTATATAAGTAGCTCACACCACAATATGACTGAATAAAGTTGTGTCATGTCCGTGTTTACTTTATAATGTCAAGTGAATATATGTCATTGTAACGATTACAATAATGCCTCTATCCAGTCCCATATATTTAATCTAAGTAAAGAATTCCCAGCATAATATATTCAATATTGTAGTAGATTTACCGCCTTATATTCTCTTCAACTTATCATTATGTACAAAAAATTGCAAACAATTATGATTATTGCAGTTTATATAACTATTTATTTCTTTATATAATATATTTGTATCAGAAGGGATTTTTGTGGATATTATAGTAATTTCAAAAGTTGAGATCATGAGTCAATTTAAGCTAGACTACTATGGAGAACCTGAAAGCACTGGACCGCCGTGTCGTCCTAGTATGGGAATCTTCAACAGTGTACATTGACGATCCCGCCTGACGAGATTTGAACCCAGGACCTATCGATTTTGCTGTTGAGAAGTCCCAAAATAGGACGAAATGGTCATTCAGTGCTTCCAGGTTTTCCATGGTGGTCTAGCTCCAACTGACTCATAATCTTAATTATAATATATTTGTTACATGAAATTATCTTAGAAAAAAACCATCCATCCAGTATGATAATCGTTCCATTTGAATTTACAACATCATTAAATTTTAAGTTTGTTAGAAAGTTGATTAAATATATATTAGATGACAGAAGAGATAAATTATAATAGGAAGGATGTTTGTCTGCAGATACATGTTTTATTCGATCTACTTTAGCTTGGATACTAATGACAGTATGATTGTCCCTCACAAAAAGAAATTTGTGGCTGAAGGATAAGAATGTACCAGTCTAATCATATTCATCTTGACTATAAGTAACATACGTCTAATCAAGTTTACTAGTATAGTTATATGTTGTTAAGTTTTCTAATATATATTCGTTTAATTTAGATCACTACTGATCGGATTTGTATTATTATAATACAATGATCTGTATATGCTAGTCTGTCAAACTAAATCTAGCCAACACTCAATAGTAACTAAGGAAATTGTTAACTCTTATTGGTCAAGAAATCACATCTTCCTCTACCTCAATATTCAGTTCAAATATTCATAGGTTAATATAAATGAATTGTCTGAATACATCACATCGCATATAAGATGTCAGTTTATGTTGAATTAAGCCAAGAGTAATAGAAATTGAAACAAAATATAAATAACAAATCAACAATAATTTAGAATTATTGAAACATGTCGACGATTTGCAGATTCAACGACATTTTACAAATAGGTCGGTATAAAAATCTTGTGGTAGTTTCGTACAGGTTTGAACAGTATGTGACAAATGATCCAGTCTAATAGGCTTAATCATATTTTGATGAACTGTTGCTATTTCTTGGTTTAAGCAAACTTAGCCTTCTTTTACTCTGACATAATACTTACTTAGTAATCCCATATTAAAATTAAGAATAATTTCTCATTATGTGACAGTTCCAGAAGTCATGACTTTTTCATTATTCTCTCCGTTATATTGTATGCTGTAACAAATCTATATGACATGTAATGTACAAGCTCATAGTTGTATGAACTGATGTAAGGCCGAACAGTCATGTAACAAATAACCGCAATGTTTCTATATTATGTGTACATTTTTACATATGTGTACCAGTCTGCTTGTTAGTTTGACTATTTTATCGCATTAAGTCTTTGATATATTTATAGATATATAAACACTGTGTTTACTCTTTCCTATGTAGGAACTGTCGGTACGATCGGCAATATATAAATATTTCCCATAACAAACTTCTTTTCACCTTCTAGATTATACATGTTTAATCTGCTGGAATAATATGTTCGAAAGAGTATTTCAGCTTCTATTTCCTTTTACACCTTTTATAATAGTTGACTAAAAAAGTTGTAATATAGTGAACAAGAACACAAGTGGGAACAGCCGAATATATCACGGAACATCTCACTGAAATCTGAGAACCATACAGTAAATACTTCGTTTGTAAAATATCAATCTCCATTGTCTCAAACGTGAATGCTTCTTTTGTAAATATGGGTCCATCGTCTCAGATTTCATTGTTCTTGCATTTTCATAACAATTGCCTTCTGTTTCCGTTGTTTCCTTCTCGATCTTCGACTGAAATACATTCTATCCTTGATTATCGTTATATACTACTTGTGTAGATATAAGTAGCTCACACCACAGTAGTTATACAAGTTTAGTAGTGTTATAATGTAAATTATGCTAATTCATATGATGACAAACACTCGTTAAGAATCACCTTTATTGATATAAACAAAAACTGATAAAAGTCATTTATAATATAAAATATGTGACATATAAAGTGTACATATATCTGTTTTCTTTCACTAATCAAGCAAAGCTTTTACTTACTTACTTACTTACACCTGTTACTGTTAATGGAGAAAAGGCCGCCGACTAGCATTCTCCAACCCACTCCGTCCTGAGCCTTCATTTCTAGTTCCAATCAATCAAAGCTACTGTAACGAACAAAACACGGGTGAGGACAATCGAATGAGTTGAACACAAAATTACAGCACTTGTTATTACAATCTAACAATCAAATAGTAAATGCTTAATTTGAAAAATGTCCATCATTTGTCTCATAATGACTCAGACTTCATTGTTCTTGCATTTTGATACAAATTGCATTCTGTTCCCATTCTTTACTGTTTGATCCTCTTATCTCTCTGCTGCCAGACCTTCTGTTCACGACTAACGTCATATACTACTTATGTCAATATAAGTAGCACACACCACACTACTATTATCTAAATACATCAGATTATATTTAACTATAAAATGGTCAAATATCATAAAAAAAAGTTTATATTTATCATTGTTACCAATTTCATATTATGAATTACATTCGTTTTGATGGTATTCTCAAAAAATGTTATTTACATAATAATCTACTAAATGATGTTTCCTTTTTCTTAAATTCTTTTTAGTTAAAGTACTTATCATTATTATCTTAGATTTGATTGCTTTGATCTTAGCAATAATTGGAAGTTCTTTACTATTAAGTGGAATATTCTCATTGAATATTAAACGTAAACGTAGATTTTATCATATATCAATTGTATTACATATACTTTCATGTAAGTTCTTTAAAGATTAATTTATGTATCATTTTCTTGAAAAAATTTCTTTTCTTTTGTTATTTTAATTGATTGAAAAAACAGCTAATCTGTTTTAAGATCATCAGTGTTTTTACTGTTCATTAGACTGAAATGATAAGTTGTAATAACAGAAAAGGTTTTCTGTGAATATTATAGTAATTTTAATAGTTAAGATCATAAGTCAATTGAAGCTAGTTCACCGTGAAAATAATATTCACGAAAACCCTTAAAGATATTAATCAATATATCCTCACAAGTGACTGGCTTCAAGATGTTTTTCCTAGAGTTCTAGTGAGAAGCGATCAACAGTGGAGTTCAACAGAGTCTATTATGACATAGTAACTCACTGAAGACAATGGTAGATGTGTTGCTCAATTTTGTGGATTAGTTGAAGTTAGACATTAACACTGTTGAATCGCAGCTCAGTGGTTTAGAGGTTAAGCGTTCACCCACGAGACTGATAATTCCTGTGTTTAAATTTCGAGAGGCGTTATTATGGATGCGCACCGCTGAGGAGTCCTACAATAGGACGAAACGGCCGTCCAATACTTCCGGATTTTCCATGGTAGTCTAACCTCAACTGACTCATGATTTCAACTAATAAGATAAGTTGTATGCTAATTATCACTAGTTCGCAGATTTTGTGAATTCAATCAAAATAACTGAAATACTGAATTACTATTAGGTTTTCTTTATAAATAGATGTATGGCCTATTTAATTTTAATTACTGAAAATTCGATTATATAATTTCTTGAAGTTCCAAGTTATAATTCCTTCATTCCTTCATTAAGTCGTAATAATACTTATAGTTTTAAATAAATTATCCAAATATCTAAAAAATTCAGGAAGTTTCTCAAGAGTTGAAATAATCAATAACTATGTAATGAGGTAAGAGAAGGTTGATACCAGTTAAATAATAACGAATGATAGTTTAAACTTATGACTTGCAAAGATCCTTAATTGTCCAATCTGGATTATAGTCCTGACAATAAATAATAGATTAGTTCGGCACGACTAGATACAAAACAAGTAACAACGGTATATTAGTAATTATTTGTTTAATACTAAAAAGATGTATGAAAAGCATTACAAGTAATTAATTTCATACAATTGTTTAGCTTAGAAAGTGTAACAAAACATAAATAACCGTGTTTACAGAATATGATAAACCTATAACATTTGATTGTATCTTTTTAACCATATACTTTACATTTTCTTTATAGTCATCTTCCAACCACATCACTGACCAATAATTCTAGTTCATCATATAAGCTTACTTTAATGATTAGGTAAGGTAAGTATGGGCAATACAGGATCCCAATCATAAAATGGCTCCTTTCTGTTTAGGCAAAGAAAATACAATTCTTGAAAATTTTACTGAAATATATCATAAATATTTTATTAGAAATGCTGCATCACAGTCAAGTTTTGTTTGAACAGTTAACCAATCATATCATCGACATATATCAGCCAATAAAAATTAACAATAATAATAGCCAATCACTGTAATCTATTATGTGTGTCAGTTGTAAGTAGTTGACCAATAGGGTTACGAAAAAAAGTCTAAATCATTAGGTGTTATCTGACCAAGAAAATCAAAACATTTCGAATTTACTTGAACTAACAAATTGAATTTCAATCGTTGAGATCATGAGTCAATTAGAGCTAGATCACCATAGGAAACCTAGATGCACTGGACGGGCGTTTCGTCTTATTGTGGGACTCCTTAGTAGTGCGCATCCACGATAACGCCTTTCGAGTTTCGAATCTAGGACATATCAGTCTCGCGCTTAGCCTCTAAACCACTGAGGAGACATCCAACGATGTTGGTATCTAACTTCAACTAATCTACAAAATTGAGCGACACATGTACTATTGTCTGAAGTAAAAAAGCCTGTTGTTAATTAAATATTCTTAAAAAAGGACTCAGAATAAAAACACATATTTGACGATACATTGAAAGTAATTAACAAAACAAATAAAAATGGTTTCTCGGTGACTTATATAAATGAATACTTTTGAATAATACATTGGAAATAACTCTGATCACTAACGAATATTAACTGAAGGACCATTGTATACTGGAGCGTTATTTTGTTGTTATTGAATAACACCATTAGATGCCGGCTCATTGGTCTAGTTGGTTAAGCACTTGTCGCGAGACTGATAGGTTCTGGGTTCAAATCCCTCGAGGCGGGGTTGTGGATGCGCACTGCTGAGGAGTTTCACAATAGGAAGAAACGACCGTCAAGTGCTTCCAGGTTTTCCATAATGGTCTAGCTTCAATTGACTCACGATCTCAACTAATGAAATTACTATAATCTCCACACAAAACTTTTTCTGATGTTATTGATTACTTTAGAAATAGACACATCCATGATTATGACTTGTTTATTTTAAGATGTTAGTTGAAGGTTTCGATATTATCGGAGAACTGCAAATAGGATAGGAGGTGTACCTTTAAATCACTTATGACCAACATCAAAATATCAAACGAAATGCATAGCATTTTTTCTAAAAATTGGTTTTGTTAATAATCCCAAGTCAACTAGCAAGGTAGTTGACTTGATAATTAAATTACATTACCGTAGAATTTGTTACCTACCAATAAAAGTGAATGTAAAATGATACAACAATTGATAAATTTTGAAATTTTCCACCAAAGAACTCTAATCTAGTTGTTTGAAACCATTACACATGCCAAGAGACACAAAATTAACGATTTAATTTGAAAGTTGTGTGATTAGAATAAACTTACGTGGAGTTATGAACTGGAATGAAAGTTTTCATTCTCCATAATCTGGTTTCATTATTTTTTCGAAAGCTATTATCATTTGACCTCCAACCACACTTTAATTACTTACTATCCCAAAGCAAGCTGGATAGCAAATAGACGTATGTCCTACAACTCTTGGTGAGGTTGATAAGGCTATAGGCAATCTAAAGCGAAAGAGAGCAGCAGGGCCTGATGGACTAACCCCTTAGATTTTTAAGGATGATGGCCCAGTTCTAGCAGTTACATTAACTGAGATCTTAGCTAAAATCTGGAAATTGCACGTAATTCAACGCAATCGGTCTTGGTCGCTGATCGTTATTCTATAAGAGAGCACAAAAGTCGTCTTATGGCAATCACAGAGCAAACAGTTTAAATAATTCAGTGTCTAAAATATTAGTCTCTATAATACTTCCACATCTAACTAGAACTCTTGAAAAGCAAACCCGAGTAAACCAGGCTGGTTTAACTGTCATAGATATGCCTTTAGAAATAATATTATCATCGTTCGACTATTCAGGTGTTGATCTACCAGAAGATTCACTTACTCACTCGGAATGTCCAGAAGATATAGTTGTGTTCGGTGAAAACGCTAGAAAAATTCAGTTGGTGATTTCAAGCACTACAATTAATCATTCTATCTAAATCTATACTCCTATTATCAAAGATGTATTTGTACGTAATAAATCAGGCTTTAACAGTTGAACAACTTAGTTCATTTAATTAGAATGTATCTTGCGCGCGAGACTGGTAAGTCCTGGGTTCGAATCCCGTGAGTGAGATTGTGGATGCGCACTGCTGAGAAGTCAAAGAAAAAGCCTTCCATAGTGGTTTGTCATTAATTGACTCATGATCTTAACAATTAAAATTACTATAATATCCACAAAAACCCTTCTGATATTAATCAACATATGCTCATTAGTGACTATCTCCAAGATGTATTTCCTGTAGTTCTAGTTTGAAGCAGTAATCAGTGGAGTTCAACCGGGTCTGTTGTGATATAATCTTATTATTATAGATTCTTTTCATGAATACTAAAATAGTTAAATATTTATTTATATAAAATTATTTATTAATGATTCAAACACTGAATTTCAATTTTGTTTTTTGTTTTAGGTATCACAATATTATCAGCATTAATTATCTTAGTGATTGAATGTATGAATGAAGCAAATCAGAATTCATCATCATTATTATTAGAGAATCAATCAACTATTACAGTTGGTTGGTCATTGATTATTGTTTGTTGTGGAATATTTATACTTGGTATATCAGTTTGTCTTGTTTTATTTGATAGAGGTGGTGAAGAAATTGAATATCGTGAAACAATTCATCGATCATCAAATTATATAGGAGATTCATAGAGAGATAGAAAGACAGAAGAAAAAAGAGTAGTAACCAAGAAGGAAAAAGAAATGATATTGGAATGGGGATGGAGTAATTCAAGTTAATAAGCATCTAACTATCTATGGTGCATATAAATATTGATTTTTGATTTTCTGTAAACAAAATATGCACAAAACACATATACATACATTAAAGATTTGTGTGCACATATACACATACACGATGCCTTAATTTGTATTCAGATCATATTGAATTGGCCAATTAGTATCAAATGTTCTTTGTTTTTTTTGAATATTCTATAGGGATTTCGAAACTGCAATTGGTCTCAGTTGACTATTTACATTCACCAATAGCATATCTGCTTGGTTTAAATGTGTTTGCAATTTTGTTGGCACAAGGAAAAGGAAAGAAACAAGAATTGTGAAATAAACTACATCTTCTTTAGCCTTTCCTTATATAAAAATTCATATTCTCAACATGATATAGAAAGGTTGAAGTGTAGTTCAGTAAGTAGGCTGACTGAATCATTTCTTGTGTTATTTAATAAAGATTTTCAATATGAGTTTTCTTTCGCTTTCCCTCATCAACATATCAGGTGATAAGATGATGTTAGTCTTTCTGCCCCTCCCCAAGGCCGTTTATTCATGAATTGAACTTACTTATCACTAGCTTCAAAGTAGAACTGAACAACCGGTCGTGTCAAGGTTTTAAACTATATGGAGACAAATTCTCTCTTGTATATCAATCAGTGGATGGATTAAGAACGTAACAAGAAGCATTTAATTTGAAAGGTTACGCTAATACATGAGGACTGTGATCAATTAGTCATTGGTTAGTCAAACAGTTCCAGTTTGCATTTAAAATGATGTCATCTGTTACAATGAAACTAAGTTTATGACACTGAAACATGATATTAAGTTGAAACAACAAATCTTAAGATTATCATGAATAGGTATAATATATGGTAACCGTAAATAATTTTCGAAGTGTCTTTTCCAATTAGGTAATCGCCCTTTTTTTTAATATATTCATCTTATATTACAATCCCCTCATGGGATGACGATCAAATACAAAGTCCCGATGGATTAGACATTAGAAAACAAAATGATTCATTAACACATTATCCAATATATATTACCATGGATAGAAAAATGCAGATCTGTAAAATTACTACTGATTAACTTTAAAGCAATTAGTCCGTTTTATATAAAAATGCCTTGACAAGTATATGTGTGACCAGATTGTTCGAAATGTATAGCGCAAATACATCACATTTTTCAGATAAAATCCGTCTTCTCATTGTTTTATCGAGATACTGATTAACTTACAAAATAACATGGAATAGTTGTTCAAGAATGAAAGTGGAATCACAATAAACAACTAACGAGTTATCATTATTTCCAATTAAAGAATGTAAGCTTAAAATGTGCACGATTAGTTGATCTAGTTGAAAATGATAACACATTCGATTGCGAAATTCAAGAAACTACTCATGAGTAAGTATTTGCATGTTGAAACAAATGATTCACAAAAAATGGTACATAATCAGAAAACCTGGTCTTCAGGTTGACAAACCATTTTTATCATTCACGATGCAGGAATTTTGTCGTAATCATTCCGAACGAGTTTTTATGGAGCCTGACTCAACAGCACTGGGTTTGAAAATTCGACGGGTTGTGCGAATTCGATTTCGTTTAGGATGAATATATCGATGTAACTAAATTAATTGATCCGACAAATAACAAACTTGTGTAGTACGCTTTAGCGGTGATGAAATCCTGTCACCTCACAATGTACATACTAGTTGAGTTGAATTTTATTTATTTGAACACATAGATATTGGTACAAAGGGACACCAAATAGTAGTAAATGACAAAGGATCAGAGAGTTCTGCCAACTACCTCAAAAAACCCGATATTTTAGTTGCTGTACTGCACGAAAATTACATACTGAAATCAAATTACAAATAACTTGTATCTTAATCAACTAACTTGATGACCACTTTAGACAATTGATGCACAAAACGAAAGAGAACCATGCGAGTGGATTTCCAGAGCTTGGTTCAAGAGTAGATATGAGCTTGGACATTAATTCAGGGTAACGCATTCACTATCAGAAAATAGCTGAATGCTTACCAGAAGCTGCTGATGTAAACATGTTACAAATGTCAAATATTCTATTTGTAGTTCACCCTACGGATGGGATAACAGAACTATCGGTCACAAAAAAATATGTAATTAGGTAGCACTACAATTTTCTATAAGATTACTATTATATTTAGAATCGATTTTCGGCTGAACTAAACTAGTCAATAGACTGTTGTACACGGCAAATCAGAGGAATGTTACGACCAAACTTGAATATCGCATATTCAAAACCTATCTACGAAATACATTGCTTTCAAGTAGCAGACTCATCATCACTTGAAACGCTAAGCTTATTTTTGATTATAGATAAAGTGTAGAGATCAAAGGAATCACGAAGGTTTAACCGACAGTATCAACACATGAGTGCATGTTATGGGTAGAAGTTATTCTGAAATCAGAAAACTGAGAAGTACATCATCTAAAGTTTAACATTAAAGTCGACTAGGATTCGGTTTTTTGGAAAACATTTGAGTATTACACAGGCTTTAATATGAACGGAAATCGCGTCGTGATTTAAATACATTTTAAATAGCGAAGATTTGCAGTCAGTCAGTCAGTTGTTACTGACTGACTGAAGATTTGCAGATCTAGCAAGTTTTTGGTCGTTACATTCTTCTGCATGAAGTGAACACAATTACGTTCAAAACGACAATGAGAACTTCGGTACAAAACCACTTAACTCAGAGAAGATAGCAATCGAAAACATTCTGACGGATGTCGATACATCAAGACTGAGGAACTTCTAAGGTCTTGTTAACAATAAGAAAACTTAATTATTAGAATGATCTGTTGGTATGAGTATATGCTGCTTCAATGACATACGCTGTGTTTTTTTACTTGACAAACAATTAACCAATAAACAAAATGAAATTGATTGTATACCTACCGACCACCTAAGAAAAACCCCTGGAATTTATAGAATGCTCATACTAGTTTACTAAACCATCCAGGTTTTCTACCCGTCCACACCAGACTCAGAAATAAACAGCTCTCTAAAAAGAAAACTCCGAAGACTAAGCCTTAGACATTTTGGAGACGAATATGATATCCTTAAAAAAACAGGACTGTTCAAAACTTTTTTAACAAGTCTTTCTATTACTATGAAATGAAGTAATTAGTTCATAATCCGAAATTTAGAGCAATTTATGCTAATTAAAACCATTTACTAAACGGCAGTGTTAGTTTAATTTAAAGAAGTTGAGCTTACAATGGTGCAGTCCACCATATGACTTTAGCGGTTTCAAGAAGCATGATTTCAATTTTATTATTACAGTAACCTGATGTTAAATGTCAACTGTTATGTTGGATGCCAACCAATCATACATTTACAGATAGAGGAGAATCTACAGCAAACATTTCGAATACGGTAATATGAAAACGCAAAGAGCCTAAAAGCAAACAACATTACATCGCTAAAATAGAAACTAGTCATCCATGATATACAAGAGAACAATAATCATAGGATGAAATTGTCGAACTAGGAGGAAGTTCCGGGAGAATAACACTACAAACTGACCTTTATACGATAACCTAAACGAATTTATTTCCTAGCAACTAACCAACTTTAAGTAGTATAACTAACAAAACAATTTTATCAGGCAAATGTAAACGACATATATCTGTAAATATATGTATATATCCTGTTTACAAGAATAACCAATCAAGTTAGCCGATGGGCAGAAGGGGAACGTGTACAACAATTATAAATGATGATAATGATAATATGTAAAACTGCAGATCAATTGTCAAATCATAGATAGACAAGAAGAATTATATGGGATTCTCAAGTTGAAAAATAGAGAAAGAGCAATAAAATCACCACTAGTCAAGGCAATCAATCGGAAACACAAGCTATCGTGTTAACAATTTAATAGACAATGTATAACATGACAAGGATTCATAAGAAACACAGAATTTACAGTCAAACATTTAATTTAATAAAAACTCAAAGAGACATAGAATTGACACAAACAAAAAATCAAAAGAAAATATCCTGTTTATAGAAAAACTGGTCAAGACTACTACAGTTGATCTACAAAAATGATGTGCATTTTAAGACAAGTATTGACCACTTTTCAATTGTAATGCGAAAAGACTACAGCATGATCATACGATATATAGTAAGGATGGAAGCACAAAACTCGGAAAATTATTCTCCACAATAAAAGTCAAAAAACACATTGTACGGATGATTTGTCAGTGAAGTCCGTCTGTAAAGAATGTAAGAAATGGTGAAAAAAGAAATAGATAACTTACTTGAAGTGGAATCACAAATATACATTGTACTAATAAGAAAAACTGAGGAAGTGAAGCAACATTACACGATAAATTTATAACTATTTTCGTATTAAGCTAAAAACCAAAATCTTTGTATCAGTCAGCTACAACGTAGTACCAGGCACATATATGCACCGGTCCAAGTTGTCATACCGCATTAGCACAACAACATAAACACCGGATTCATAGAATCAGTTAACTCAATGGTGTAATATATAAAAGATCTTATGTAAGAATATAGTACAGAAAAAAATAATTGGTTCGTAGAAAGAAAGATATAAAACGATTTTAATCTCATAGTTGAAGGGATGATAGAGGGTGTATACACCTACGCCATTGTGATCGATTCTGAGCCCTGTCACCCAGAATCTCCAACCATTGATTACGATAGTCACGCGGACCCCAACCAAGTAGTCTACATCTACCAACATGGCTCAGACTAGAAATAAGTGACTTTAAGCACTGATGCTACGCTTTGGTTTGGCAACCCCCAACTATCTTCCCATAGTCTCCAACAATGGTCAGAATTGCACGTCGTGGTAAACGGTTTTCAGGCCCAACCATTTCAGTCGATGGAGATTCACAACCTCATCGACTGATTTATTATCATTCCCTAATACCATGCATCTAACCTTACCATTACTTACCACCCGGTGATCCCAGCAGATGAGAGCTATATTTCTAAAACATCTGTGATCAAATACTAGTAACTTACTGGTATCCTCAACCTTTAATGGTCATGTTCCGCAGCCGTAAAGCAAAACAAAACGAAATGTTTCTCAGTATACTCATCGTTTAATTGATAGACGGATATCTCGCCTTCGCCACAGATGATCTAAGTTAGCAAAAGCCAAACAGACTTTCGTCAGTAAGTCTATGATGAAATTAAAAAGAAATAGAGAAAGTGGACAGCTTCGCCGGACACCACTTGAGGTTGCAAAATCAGATGACAGTTTGCCATAAGTTGTTAGTGTTCGAGTTAAGAGCCTTCACAAGGTTTATGTACTTTTGAAGTACGTCTTTCAATGACAGACAATGTCAGAAAATGTGACTGTGTTACACTAACAATCAAGGCAAACAAAGATGATACGACATGTTGGATATAACTATGTTCAACCCAAATCCTTACCTGGACGAGATGGATATTGGAACGGATTACTATAAAAACCTATGGGATTCAACTGATGTCCGATAGGAGGTGGAGTGGCTTGATTTGGTGGATGAGAAGCCCCACCAAATGCTGGACCATAAAGTCCATTTTGCGGATTAATTGGTCCAGTAATTGCTGCACGAGAAGTACCTCCAAACTGCTGAAGTGATACGCGTTGATGCGATGGTGAAATCGACGGATAAAAACTGGATGGCAACTGAAAGGACTGTTGTCCTTGCGCTGAGGGTGACTGTGGGAGGTTTGGATGGGGGAATAAATTGTGATGCTGTAAACCTCTTTGTCGAACAGTAGCATTTGAATGGTCAGTACTGGGACGCCCTCCTCCAATCACGCCTACATAGTTAGGAGCATTGGCATAATTTGAGACAGAATTTGAAGTGATGGGTGTCGGGAAATGACAAGGTGTATTGTTGTATCCACCCTGAGGAACAGGGTGAGGTAATAAACCTCCACCGTTTCCAGGAGCTGGTCCAATCGCTGGGGCGAATGGTTGTCCAGCGGCTTGAAGGTTAGAAGTAGCAGAAGGGTTTCCAAGAAGAGAATACGAATTTACAGTCGTTGGAAATCCGATCGCATGTCTTCCTGAATTCTGTGGGTAATTAGACTGATGAATGGCTGAATACAAGCCAACAGAAGGAGGAGGTGGAATACAACCAGCAATAGATGGAGGGAAATTGTATTCATTCTGAAATTAAAATAAAACACTACAAATAAAAATCAAATCATTAGCGCACTTATAGATCAGAATGCTTAGATAAGTTATATTATTGTACTAGTTTTGATTGGAAATTTAATAATATTAGGGTTAAAATTCGTTGGTTCAACTAAAAGGGATAAGAATGAAATTGCTTACAAGACTGAACGCATAAACAGTAGTTGTTCACTCAGGTGCTGACATAACCACAGGTAGAAGATAGCAATTTAGTGTGACAAAATGGATTTTGGTGTAAAACTGACAATAGATTATATCAGCACGAAACTTTGTTTATAAAATCATTTATGAATCATTAACATAAAGAAGGCTCAAAAGAGAAATAAACATACTTTTACGTCCGTGGGAAAACTCGAATACCCAGCAGTGAATGTGGATGGATCCATTTGATGTGGTACCTGTTGTCTGCATTTCCGAGCTTGACTCATTTGTGACTGAATCGGAATTGACAAGGAATGGTGAAAAGAACGAGAAGGTGCCGGCTGAATTGTAGTTGACTGTGGATGAACATATAATGAAGGCGCTGCAGATACAAAAGTCATTTGTTGAGACGGAACACATATGTTGTTTGATAGTTTCCCTAATTCTGCAGAGTTATTTCCATATGGACCACTGGAGTATATGTTTACTCTATCTGCGGGTGTCAATATTGAGTTTTGATAAGACTGTATGTGCTGTTGCCTAGGTGTGATAGACATATTCGACTGCTTAGTCATACTATCCAATGATGGGACGGTATTATTGTGAGTTAAAACATTTGAAAGAATATTAGAACTCATTTGATTTTGAAAGTGTGGTTGATTAGAATTAGCATTATACGAACCTGTCATGCAATTAATATTCACATCCATACTTTGATCAGCTGTCGGCCAAACGTTACCGGAAAACATGTTGCTTTCATGACGATTTATAGGAACATTAGATAAAGAGAATGGTGTATATAGAGCATTTGAGGAAGACCAAGACTGAAAAGAATTACTGGATAAAGTTGTTAAATCTGAGATAGGCGGTCTTAAAAGGGCATTAGAGCGTCCAATGTCACCACAACATTCGAAGTCAGATCTTTCTGTTTCTCCTATCAAATCTGCAGTGGAGATATTCTCAATAATATTATTATTAGATGGGCTAAGAAGATTCAAGTGCATAGAAGTCGAAACAAGAGGTGAGATGGAAGTAACCTGAAGAAGCTGTTGTTGTTGAGGTTTGACCTTACAAATGTTATTAGAAATTTGAGATGAAAATGTAGTTGAAGGACTAACAGTACATAGCGGACCAGCAGAAGGAACAACCGTACCCTGAACTGTACTACTAGCCAAGAGCAAAGTATTATTGTTTGAATGATTTTTGTTAGCTTGCGGTACGCTATCACCTATCGACCATAACGACTGCATGGAGGCATAAGAGGAGTTCACCACTGAATCCGTGTTACTGGTTGTTGTAGCGGCTGTGTTGTCTACTAACTTTTTATCTTCATTGGATTCCTCAGTAATTACGTGGTTCGAATGTTCTGATTGCCAGACTGAATTTGAATTGAGTAAAACTGACGATGTTTTTGTAGAGTCACCATGGTTTTCAGGTGGAGATTTCGCAAACTTTGTCCCAACAACTTTTGACCATGTACGAGTAGTTGGAAAAGAAATCTTCTGCAGCACAGATGATGTAGGTGTTGATGACAAACTGCTACTACAAGGAACTGGTTGGTTAGTTTGACCAGACAAAACAGAAGTTGTAACGGTGCATAGTGATGAAGTTGCGTCTAAACATAATGGTGGACCCATAAAACTTACTTTAGTTGGGAGAGACTTCTTTTTACCTGACAAACTTCTCAATAGCCCACTTGATTGACTTTTATGGTCACTTGTATGTACATAGTTTTGTGAAAGAGTGGTAGTTAAAGTTGAACCCTCCCTGGAATATACTTGGCTTACATTACCAACATTTCTAGAGGAAGTATTTAACTTTCTTGTGTTCAAGACACCAGAAACTGAAACTTCTTGCTGCATTCGTCGACGTGCAAAATACTTGCTTGCTTTCGAGACAACTTTTGTAAACCCATCCCCATGTGGAGTATCTTCTTCAAAAAAGTCTTGATTTAACTCATCGAACTCTTTACCTGATTGCGAGAACTTATCGGAATCATCCTTGAAGACTGTTTCTTTTCTTCGCTCTGCACGACTAGTCCATGTAGACAAGGAATCCAAAGCATAAGAATTTTCGGGAAATGAGACATGAGGCTTAATAGACATTAAAGGCGGTATTGAGGATATATCATTTCTTTTGTGGTAAAAAGTGGTTCCACATCGAGAGGCACGTGTGGTGCTACGGTAAGCGCTATGTTGGTTTGTGGAACTTCCTCCTGATAATTGAGACTTTTCATTTTTCTGGACAGTTCCACTAATAACTGATGGGGAAGAAGAGACTTTAGAACATTCTGTTTGTAAAGCAATCCCACCAGCAGCAGATCTTGGACTGGTACCTGGGGAAAAGTTAGTAAAATAATACCAACGCTTAGAACAGTCTAGATTTGTCATAAATAATTATTCAACATGAAGGTAACAAATGAGTTAATTAAGGAAACTTTATATAGTAATAATACGACAAAATATTAAAGAATATTAATAACCCATGAATAATGATTTTCACAAATGTCTTGATTATACAGGGAAAACTGTAAAAAATAATAAGAATTGTAAATAAGATTGCAAACATCCTAATCACATTACGATTTGACTCAACGTCAAACATACACCATCAAAACGACAGACATATCGACCTATTGTGATTAAGCAGTCGACAATGTGATTCTATCAGTTTGCATGCAAACTTTGATTACATGCAATTACTACTAGCGTCTGAAAGGTAAAACGACGCTACTAAACAAGATTTAAAGTGTCTAAGAAGAACGTAGTATATCATGCACACCTACCCCCTTCTGTGTCATCATTGTCATGATGACGATGATTAATAGTTGCCTCAGCAACATGACAGCTGGATGGATTGCCTCTTGTAACTGTGGGAGATGATTTTGAAGTCTTTACATCATTTTTTAGGTGGGAAGAAGTAGATATTTCGGAAAAATCTTTTCGTTTGTTTGCATCTGACAGCGGCTTTGACGAGTTCTTAATAGTTTCAGAGGAAAATGACCCTTCAGATGCTGTTTCCCATTCATCAACATCATTTGTATCGCTAGTATTCCCGGTTACCACTGTAAAAGATGAATATATCGAACACTTAGCCAATAACAGATTTACGATCTGACCGAGTGAAAACAAATTTTAAAGTCTAATGCTTAAGTGCTTCAAGATCTGACAAAAATTATCAATGATCGTTTCTCTGACTAAATTCGTCACACTATACGGATGTATTAGACTCAATTCTTCTGAAAAATAATACTACGAAATGACAGAACAGATAGTGACGAGACCTGTTATCGGCGCTTCAGCAGCTCCCAGAATATGAAACGTTATAAACCATAGATCATATACATCGGAGTGTTGAAATGTTTTTGATAGTGCTGTGTTCTGTGAACTAGGTAATCGAATTGTATAGCTTTTATTGTATTTCTAACGACAAAAAAGCCCCTACTGTATGTAAAACTGGATGAGTCTTAAAAACTTTAACTAACGGAATGAACAACAACCGAGTATAAACTATTGCAAAAAACTGTAAAATAAAGGTGTACTATGGAAAAAAGTGAAGGAAGTAACAACCATATTTGAATTCGATTGTTATTAAGCATATAATGAATGGACTAGATGTAAAGAAACACTGAAACGGTAACTGGTACCTTGAACGCAGGCTTCAACAAAAATCATTCAGTGTTTTCATTGACCAATATATATGATGAGAAAAATATCGTTCGTAAAGTAGTGACAGAAATTGTTTAAACTACTCTCAAACTAAGTGAAAATGGGTAAACATGTGAGAACTGTCCGAACTTCAATGCAATAGCAATAACTTCCAACACCAATACACGGACCGTTACATCTCTACCTAAACTCACTGTAAAAATAACCAGCAGACATTTGACAAATACCAATGGAGAACAAGAACAATAAATTTTATATGTAGATAAAACTTACCAACCGCTTGCCGCCGACGCATAAGAGATCGTGAGTTCACATTATTTTCATCAAGCGGATCGTTAGCAGTATTTGAAACAACTTCACTATTGTTGCTTTGCTTTCCTTGATCAACGAAATCGACAGCAGAATCAGTATGACCACCATTACCACTGCATTGATTGCCACCACGAGAATTACTATTTCCACCAGTTCCAGTCTTAAAAATAATGGAAGCAGACACACCACTAGATGTTCCAGACCGGCCTACACCGCCAGCAGCAGCACCTCCATCACCATCTTTTTCATCATTGTATCGATCCCGCATTTCTCGATAGCGACGAGTGGTATGAATAACAGAGCCGTTAAGACGTTTTGATTGATGATTTTGACTAGCACGACTACTTATGCGTTTGGATGTCCCTAAAACTTTGTGGGTGGCAAAACGATTAGTACGCGTTTTAGAGTACTGGGAGTTCATAATAACTGAATCTGAAGCGGGGACACGAACGGTGGGAACTTCAGGATCATCTATACCTTCCGTCCGATTATTAGTACTATCCAGTGTCAGTTTAGTTACCTAGTTTAACAGCGAAATGTGGGAAAATGTTATTAAAATACATTGATAAATGTAAGGTGAAACATAAATTCAAATGGTATGAAACACAATAACATTGTATTCCGTATAATTATACAGTGACATATTATAAGCAGTTATTTTTGGGCTATGAATACATGGCTTATTCACTCAGTGACAAAATGCTTTGCAGCAAGTTACTTAAATGTTCTTGCTTTAAAGTACAGATTGCTTAGCGCGCTTTGAACGTTTTAATGTATTAAATATGTTATTGATTCGAAACACGAAATTGACTGATCCAGTCCTAGATCAACTTACAGCACAAAACGATATAACATTCTGAAGGATCATAAGGTGTGAAGTGGTGACGTTTTAGAGGCGAGAGATTACATCACTATGTTAAGAGATACGTAGGTAACTTTGCTTAGAAAAACGAAAAAATCTATATAAACACATGCTTGAAACCCAAGTAATTTTTTCGGCTTCCAGACAGGACGTTATCATATATCGTCTGTTCTTCTATCCTAATTAATGATGTTATAAGACCAAAATCTAGTGACTCATATCATACACTTTTATAACAGGCAGAAAATCAACTCATACGGTGTTAAGTTCGTTTGATGCTCAGTGAACTACTGACAAGTGGACTGAGCCATGTTGGTAGGTGCAGACTACGTGGTTGGGGTTTGCGATACAATAGCAACCAATGGTTAGAGACCTTGGACGGCATGGCTCAAAATCGTTTGCAATGACACAGGTGCATTCACTCTTTGTGTTCTCCCAAATTCTAAGCTTTCGAATTCTTCATGTACCTCTTTTTTTCTCTTGCCAAATTTATTTCACTGGATCATATTCCTTAACAAACATCGACAATTGTATCTCTGTGCTAATGTGGTATGGCAACTCGAACTGATGTACGTACGTACGAAGTCCTACGTTGTTACTGACTGACAGTGAAATACAAATAGATTAAATTTATTAGAGTAAGAAACCTACAAGATTTATATTGTCTAATCCTTTACGACATCCAATCATGTTATTGTTTATGTTAATACTTTGTACATTAACATGCCTATTTATTAGATGGCAATCTCGCCTTAATCTTAGTTTATTCGGGGAGGGTCAGCAATCCAGTGTAGCGAATAGCCGTCGACCAGCTGATTTTACAAATTCAAAATTCGTTCATTCAACAAGACGCCTACCTCACAACAGATCCTTAATACTTCTGGTTATTAACGACTACAGACTAACATTTAAACATTTGTGTATTCATGACAATTTTAGAATAAACTTACAAAGACTACGCTTTGAAAAAAATTACCTGTTCAGTATCAATATGTGGCTGAGTGTTTAACTCAGACTTTGTGGTAGCGTTTGTTGGGTTTTTTCTGTATGTTTTATGGAAACGTCCACTGACAGCATAAACCTTCGCTTTACTATCAGGGTAATTAGTTGATCGACTGTGAGACTTATTTTCATCGTTGTCACTAGCAACATACTCATGAGAAAAATCAGTGGTACTTGAAAACTGTCCCTTATGACTGTAATACATCTTTTGTGGTCTCATCTGACGACCATTTGTAACGTAATATTGACTATCTAAATCCTTGTTCTGATCACGAGATGATTCATATTGTGCGTATGAACGAGTCATTCGACCACCAAAATATCCAGTAAAGCTGCCAGAAGTAATACTTCGAGAGGCTTCTGTTTAATTAAATGAAAATTAAAGGCTACTAATGTCAGAACATTTAAACTGTTATTGTTGCAAAAGAACGTCGCACGCACAAAATAATGAATAATCTATAGTAAGAATGATATCAGCTTATAAATAAAGTAGCTAGATTGGAAAGCATTCACTAGTTCTAGGTACTGTCAAACTGCATATACATATTAAAAAAATAACAAAAACCTTGATTTTTAATGGCTCAGAAACGTTATAAATAACATTTCGATACATTAGCTGTGCAGTTAAGAAATAAAACGATGGAGATTGGAAAACGATAGAAAAACATGAAATACACAGTACATACATACCTCTATATTAAAATTGAAAATAAACTGAGAAAAATGGACATGCTGTACTGAAATGCTTACACTGAGTGCGATTCGTCAACTACAAATTTTTCTACAGTAATACTCACAGAAAACAGAACTGATTGGAATAGTAGCATGTTGAAAATAGCAATGTAGTGCACGTTTAAAGTTCGAGACGATTTAAACAAGATGATTGAACTAACAGAAAATGAGTATACAGGGAATAACTGGACGTAGATCAATAAGGTGTTTAAAATGTAAATCTACATTTGCATTTGTCGGATTACACTTACATTATACGGGTCACATATAAGGAAAACCCACTTAACTTGCTTGGATCATTTGAAATTTTCTCTATATAATTCTAACTCTAAACACCACATCTTTGTGGTGAAACTTTCCCAAACTTTTTGCTCTACTTCACCATCACGAATTTCGCGGTTTGACTACGATTTCAAAACAACCATGATTACATAATTTATCTTTTTACGTTGACTCCCAATAAGTATATCTTGATCATACACAAACATTTTTTTAGATGTGCAGACCACAGATTCAGCTATTTTCCAAGAGCATGGAGCGAATTATTCAGACACTTACCACTGCCTTGGCCAAAGAGAGTGAATACATATCACGTGTTTTCACTATAGTGACATACTCAAACATGATCTATTTCAAAAGTGATTTTAGTTCAAGTAAATACAACTAAAGGTATGTTTAGGAAATATATAGTTTGCTTTTAAAAGGTACTTTATAAATAATGTCTGTAAATACATTTAACTAAACAAAGATACACAGTGAATACAGTAAAAACGTTCAGAAGAGCTTACGACGCTCAGATGCTCTGTAAAGGATATCATCGTTACTATGATTCTTGCGCTGATCAATGCTCAATCCGACAGAATGACCTGTACGAACTCCTCTGGACCCAGAACCATAATGTTGACGCCAATAATAGTCTTGTTCCGAACCTTTTGAATAACGTTTCGAGTATGAAGAGAAATCATCTGTAGTATAACTCCTGCAATTTTATTCAAAAAAAGTTTACATTTTACATTGAGTATTATGAAAATTTCTGTTGACAACAATTAGCTGTTTGCCGAAATAAGGGTTATAAAACTGATAATTGTACGCTAACATAGGAAGAAACTTAAAGGAATCTAACCAATAGATCATCTTAAGTGTTACACAAAATTAGCCTTTCAGATAACAATGGGACCTTGTAGTAAAGTTTATAGAAAAAAGGCTATCAGGTTTGCTAAATACATTCCGGAACACACAAAACAAGTCGTCGTATAGCTAAAGCATTGAACGCTAATATTTATAAAGGTAGAAAAAAATATAATCCACCAGAGTTAGATCAAAACTTAGTTAGAACTATTTCTCATGAACATTACACTCAAATCATTTTATCAAGAAAATTATGTAATTCAAGTTACCTGGAACTTGTAAAATGACTATTTGTCCCGACACGACCACGTTGACCTCGTCTGTTGTATGATGTACTGAGATTTTTATTTCTATCGTTATTATCAGACACTCCAGCTTGATTCGGATGTGAGAATTTACCTAGGTGCTGATTCCTTTTTTTCCCAGACTGGTTACGGAATCGGTTATAACTCTTGTCATCTTCAGTGCCATCACCTTCTTGAACGTCACTAAGGATACCGCATCCATTACTCTCACTTTCGCTAGACAACACAGAAGGTGAACTATTATTGTTCAGATCTGTACGCGTCCAACAATTATCGTCTGTTATATTTCGAACCTGCTTTCTGTATCTCATATGTTCGTCATCAGTCAATCCAGATTTGACCCGTGAATTCATATTATAGGCATCTATAACTGAATCATCAACGCTGCGTGATGGTTTCGAACGCCAGGATTTCGACGACTTTGAAACACTGTGTGAACGATGTGATACATCATAGTCATCTGCAGAATATTGTGGATCACATGGTTCGCGAAGATTCATAGATTCTAGAAATTTTTAAGAATGAAATAGTGCAAGTTATGAAAATGACAAAATATCTTTCAGTTTAAGAGACTTGAAGAGTAGAGACATCTACCACATAAAAAGATTTGTTGGGCCGGTGAACTATTTTAGTAATTATGGCTAATGAATTTATAGCTTCATGAAGACCTACAACCAAGAGAATTGAGGAAAAAATCCTTAACAGAAGTTGATGTTTTGTTCGTCAGAACAAGAAAGAATTTCCTACTGCAAGTTCGGTACATTGGTACATTCTTTGTCTTTGCTGACGTATTGAGTTTTAGAATTATATAATATACACTACCCCGCAAACCTCTTCCTTTTCCCCTAATCATATTTCCTATGCTTAATTTTTTTACTATCACTGGTACTGTAACTACTCCAATCATTCAGAGATTTATCTTGATTAGTTCATTTCGCTGGGTTGATATTATCAATTTATTTAAGTGTATAAATATTGGCACAGAGCGGCAACAAAATATATGTGCGTCACACAATAAGCAAATGACAGTGCAAGAAGACAAAGAAGGGAAGATAAATACAACAAGCATAAAAACAACTGAAATAAAATAAGTAGTTGAGAATAAAAAACTATGGGAGAAGCAGTTAAGAAAAATACACCAAAAAGGATTCTTTCAGTTAAAGTTTCTCTCACTTATGTTTTGGTGTGGTGTATTAAATTTTCGTCAAGTTCTACTCTGCTTTTTACGAACAGGTGTTATTTGCATCAGGCTTACAACTGAGTAACCATACTTCAATAGTTTTTGGAGATGAGACCTGATTTCAGGTGATTCTTCTCATAGAAAGAATAGGCATTCGACTAGAGATGTAATGGTTCTTGTTTAGATTCCTAAGAGCTGCTGGTGTATACTGATGAGTTTCATATATGGGCTTGACAGCGGACAAGAGCTTCCCGGTTTTCAAAGGTACATATGTGAAGTCCTGACGAAAATCACAACTGATCGATTTTCTGGAAGCAAGGTAACACCAACTACTCAGTTTATGAAGATTTTCTTGTTTTGAAATAAGTTTTCATAAATTCGAGTTATGAAAATACCATTTGAACGGAAGTGAACATTTGTATGTTGATGTCCTATATTTGGGAATCTTATAAACCTAGGATTCTACGAACGTCAAGACAGTTCTGCTGTACGGAGCTGAAACTTCGAGAACTACCAAAAGCATCATCAAAGAAGTACAAGTAATTATAAACAGCTGTCTACTCAAGATATTCAATGTCCGTTGGTCGGATACCATCAGCAACGGTCTGCTGTGAGATTCAGCTTCTATCTGAATAAGTTAGAAGCCGATGGAAGTGGATAGGATATATATTACGGAAATCATCGAACTGCATCACGAGACAAGCGCTAACTTGGAAACATGAATGAAAACAGAAAAAAGGGAGGCCAAAACACACTGCTGAGAATTGAAAATAAGCATCAAAAGAATGAATAACACTTACGACCACTGGAAAGGAGAGACCACGACAGTTACCTGGGGAATCCTAGTCGACGGCCCATACTTTACGAAGAATTAATGTACATGAACTGGATAGGTCAATATTGGGTAAGACGGATTTTGCTAGGCAGCCCATTTGAACCTATTATTTTTTACGTTTGACTGCTTTTTGACAGATTGATGCCTTGAATATAAGCTTAACTGTAACTAATTATTTTTGCGGTACAACTACATACATTATTTATTTATATTTCCGAGTAGCTTAGACAATCTTCTGAACTAAATTAAATCTCCAGTGTGTTATTCCAGTGAATTAGACATTTCGCCCTATGACGATAATTAAAGTTATCACTCAGTCATTTTGTCCAATTTATTTTCACATATATCACAGGAACAATCTGGTTGACTAGTGAGAGATAATTCTTTTTCACAATTATTTTACACAGACTATTTACATTCGTGAGTTGCGTACATGAGATTTTCTTTGAAAACTCCATTCCAATTCCACGACACAATTATTTCTGCTGGTATTCGATGCATAAAATGTCATAAATCTTTGATCTTACTGTTTCATATGGTTTCGAGTGATGAATATATAAAATTAAGGATTATCGTATTAACTTGACTAGAATTAACATATTTGATATATCATTTAATAGTGCAATCGTCCAGTTTTTGTAGTTATGTCAAGTAAGAAATTCTGTCACATCAATTTTTCTCTATTATTAAATGGGTTTTTTATTTGATACCTGGTGGTTTGAGTGAATGTCATATTTTGATCGTAGGTGGATTTACAATGTGGATTTAGTAAAACAGAAGTGTAGTTTTCAACTGTAACTCCGTTTGGACTTACCGGTTTACCGCACTATTAGCTCCACATGAGGTAATTGATTTATGATAAGGAAAGCTTACACGTCATTCAAGCATCAACAGATTTATAAAATTCATCTGCAAAACAAATTATTTCATAATCATTTTTTATTTACATTCTGCAACGTGTATTGATATATTAACAACGGATACGATTATTCTTAATACATAATTCATTATAACCCTTAATTTTTCTTCAGGATCATTAAAGTGAACAGAATCAGTGAGTCTGGGATGTTGTGTAATTATACTTACAAACGAAACAGATAATAGTTAGTTCGAAAATGAGTTTTCATTATTAAGAACAAAACATGATATTTATATGGCTGAAGAGAGTTAAGTAACTTTTTAAAATTTAAAAGACAATGGTGCCAATATTTTCACGAAATACTTACTGAAGTCACTTGTCACAGCTTCGAAAAGATGGCTTTTAGTGGTTCCACGACCCTTAGCACTTCCTCTCTGAGGCTTGTATGACATCAAGCTCTTTCCACGACCCCGAGAACCACGGCTTGCTGGATCCAGTAAGTGATCTTCCTTGTCCCAGAGATGAGCCAAGTGTTGAGATGATGCGCATGATACTTTAATATCCATTAAGCCAGGAACACGAGTGGTTCGTTGACTAGGAGAATTACTACTTGTTACAGTCGAGCTGGTAGTAACTACAGTAACATCCGATCTGCTGGATGATTGTGAAACCCTGTGAACTCGATGAGTTTTTTCGCATGATCCATCAGACTCCTTAACGTTTTGTGAACCGACAGTATCGTCAGGATTACCTGAAACTGAGGTTGTAGATGCATACTGGTTTCGTAGACATGAATCCACAGTACTAGTAGAAGACTGATCATGTCGCAGGGTAGATATCGCGACCTGAGCATTTGATTCTGAAGAGATCGTATTCTTGGGTGAACTAATAGGAGGCCCTTGAGGCCAATTCATCTGTGACTGATTGAAAATCTCGAGGAAACGTTCAACAGAGAAGTCTGGATTTAAAAACACACCTTGTGAATTCTGAGCAGATTTAGGTACTTGAGAATTACCCGCAGACATTTTAAGAGCATTCTGTAGTAACTGTGCCATAAGAGGCTGCTGAGAAAGCAATCGGACCATAGCGGCAGGCATTGAATTGTTAGAACCAAACTGAGCTTGCCATGTGCCAGCAGTTGCTGTGTTTGAACTAACAGGCATTGGCACCTGTGTCTGAGAAATAATTGAGGAGACACTAAGAGGCATTTCAATTCTACTTCTTTCTGGGACCCCACTATCTGCTCCACCTGTGTACGCTATGGCAGCAGCAGTCGCAGCGGCAATTGCGGCCGTTATATCTAGAGGTCCTGATGTTGGAAACGCATGAAGCATATTATGAGGAGGAGCGTTAAGCATATGATTAACAGATGAATGGTCCCCCACTGGGAACAAGCAATTAGGACCAGATTGGCATGCCGTAGTCGTGAAAGGCGTAGGAACAGATGGAAGTGATCTGTTTTCTGACATGCTGGGCAAGAGACCCAGAGCGGACTTAGGTATCATGTTATCACTTTCAGCTGAACAGCTTTCAGAAAGCTTTTGTCGTGCTCTTGCCTGTTGAGCTCTTTCAACTGCATTTTTAAATTCTTGGGTTCGTGCTTGCCTCTGAGCCTGTTGTAATTCGGCATCAACATCAGTTGCTGACCTTACAGGGTCAGTAATGCCACTTGCAATCGACACCGCCAAACGACTTTGAAGTGGATGTGTAGAGTAGAACGAATCTAAAAGAGAAGTTAGAAAACATAGTAGTGACTGGCTATCGAATTTTTGGATTCTTGATAATGTAATGTGACACATTTTGTATATGACTGGTAACCTATCTCTATCGAAATTTCAATTAATCCTAAGAATCTACATCGCTTCCCAAAAACTGTACCCCTTAAAAACCTCTCGACGTTAGAGCAGACGTAGACGATAAATACAAATTTGGTTTGGTACATCCGTATATTTAGGATTGTGCACCTGGAATGCTTAGTTGAATTTCTTCGAATCGGACTGTTGACGAGAGAATGCTCACTATGTAAAAATTCATTAGCGCATCGTTCCACATTTTTACTTACCCCAGATAAACATTACGTATTGAAAACAAGGAATTTCAAAACTGTATTTTTCGAAAATTTAGGAAAAAAAGTTTAAAGGATGTGCGTTTTCTAACAAAGATAACCAGTTACGTTTGACCGATTACGAGTATACTCGTCAATCGTTTCCAAAGGTCCAGTTAAATGAAAAAATATTACATTTCACTAGACCGAGAAGCGATGTAGACGTCGTAAACAAGTTTATCGAATCTTTATGAACTAAACGGCAATAAAAAAACTAATCAACTTATTAACCAGGTACTTGCGAATGACCCACACTCAGTAAGGACTGATGGCATTACTCAGTCACCTGAAACAGCAAGTAGAGTGGGGTTCGAACCTGGGACTTGACGGTTATCAGTCGAATGTTTTAGCCACTCAGCCACAGCTCCCAAACTAAACAGCAACGAAGACCAGTTTAGCAGAGTGTAGTAACTTCCCAGTAAGCCTTTTTATCAACGACAACCAAGAAGAAACGCATTAGCTTCAACAAGATATTCAGAATGAATCAGGTGGTACTCAGAGTATATGGTTGTAAGTTACTAAAGAAAAATGCAATATTTAGTAGGACTCAGGACAAGAGGGTCGTAAATTGTTTTATTTGAAGGTTTATAAACCAGTGCCAAAGTAACTAGTTAAGCATAGATAAATAAACTACGTTAGTGTTTTCTGAGTTTGATGTCAAAACTAGAATGTCGTGTTGCTGATACAAGGAAATTTAAACATACCTATAACGCCTGGAGATGTAACATGGTTCATAAACTGTCCACTTGGTAATGAACGGTTAGCATCAGAAGTAATCCCACAAGTATTTATCGACGCAATGCTGTAAGGAAGATTAATTGGTGGAGGTCCAGAGTGGTTAACTGAACAGTTTCGAGTGTATGAAACATCCGCAGCGGACCAAGCGTTTGATGTCTTTAAATTAGAGCCATACATATTTTGAGATACCGTCGACTGTGACTGGGTGACGCAAGCTCCTTGTAAATTAGTCGACGGGTTGACAAAGGGTTTCATAGGCATAGCATGCAAACTGGTCTTAACAGTATTAGGAGGTGGGATCGAAAACTGTGCAGGTTGTTCTGATATGTTTGTCGTTGTGGTCGATTGGATGGATTTTACTTCATACTCTTCATCATCACTAAAAATTATGCGTTCATCGAAGTCAGGTTCATCTTGACCAATAGCAACCCAGCCAGAAGGCTCCCCAACTATTTCGCGAGCGCCCCCATCAACCTTGGCAGGAATTTCAGATTTAGATGTCGTAGTTGTAGTACTAGAAGTGGTTACAATCTAGAACGATAAAAACAGCAGTATGTGCAAAACTAGTGACTTGCATGCGGTCAGTTTAATTAATAGATAGGCGTTTTCTATAATAATTAAGACCAATTATCCAAGGCTCAACAGACTACTGTTTTGATTCACATTCGTTAAAATGTTCATCATGTTGAGTATTTGGATTTTAAACACTATTAGAAATGGTCTCATGAGTCTGATTAGCAAAAGTTATTTAGTGCACATTGATTTAGAAATATAGAAACACTCTATGAATAGTATTCCTATATAATCAGCGTCACAATTAACAAGATCCTCAGCTAAAATTTTATCAGAATTTGCCTTCAGATGAAAATGAAGAAAACATGCGTTTTGTATATTAGACTGAAAAATAAAATCTGAAACTACAGCTTACCGGAGTTGGTCTCTGGAAGAATGGTTTGTTAGCTGCCAATCCTCCACTAGATCCTGGCTTATCACTCGGCGGTTTCAGCGGTTGACTGGATACTTTATCTTTTACTGCATCTTGAGTTTTATCTGTCTTAACAGAGCCGTTCACACCGACTGAAGTATCTGCCATAAGTAAATGTGATATATTATTACTCACTAGCTAACATAAAAACTAAAAGCAAGAAATCTCAGTCGTTTGGAACAACCAAGTTATTTGACTCATAAATTTATGTAATATCTACTTTATTATACTAGTAAAGTCTGTGGGTCACAAAATCTTTCACAAAGTGGAAAACAATAAGAACATGTGACAACCAAGGTTGACAAGCATGAGTTCAGCTGCGATTTGAAGAATGCTGTTACCCATGATAAGTGAAAATTTTGTTTGAATGAATGATTCTATAAAAGGTTTTCTTAGAGGCATACTTTATGCTTGTGTATATTCTTTGCTGTGAAGATAAAGCTATCCATTGATTAATACATCACGGCAAACATTTTCACTTCAACAATCAGTTCGGTCAACCAAGTGAATGAGAAGGTTTGTAGATGAACCTCGACGACCTTGGCTTACATTCACGAAAATTAAATGTAAATTAACAATCATATTAAAGCGCATCGAGGACACCCTTCATCGAGAAATAACATGACTGTTTTACGTAATAGGTGATGTGAAACTGTTGCCAAGTTATAGAGCTTGATTAAACTATTTTGCTTCTATATATGGTGATTAATATGGACAGATTTAATGTCCGGAACTCTATCCAGGTTTGCATCATTGTGAGAGACATGCTAAAAACCAACATTAAACATCATATCCTAATGTTAATGAAATGATTGGCAACTATCGGTCTAGAAATTTACGTGATATGCTTGTTCTGGGACTCCATAGTGTACTAACTTGAGTTTGGTGCTAAAGCTGAACCCGATTGAAACCCGGTTAACACTCGAATGCAAGCATACTAGCATAAAAGCAGTTCCTTACGGTTTTTTCCCTTCTTATTCTTTTCACATTACAGACCCTGGAAGATCAGCAAACCAATTCAGACACCCAAACTGAAGGAGGGGAATAACTTTATAAAAATATCTATGAGCTCTAATGTAATAGCCTAATCAATAAAACAATGCAAAGATACCAGTTGCTTCCCTATGATTGCTAGTGAGTGGGCCAAACCGATGTACAAAATAACTTATTTCTGACTAATTATTTCCATTCGTTAAACTCCAATATCCACAGGACTGGTTCCAAAGCGAGAAATGTGCTACCTTGGTTGAAAGCATGTTAATCAAGGGAAGGAAACGAAAATAATTGCATGGAGAATTTTTACAGAACATATGTAGAGACCGTGAAACCTCGGTTAGGATGCGTATCCGAGATTAAAACAGAAGTAAGGATCAAGGAGCCTTAGAGTAGGTCGTGTTTTAAGTGGACTACGCAAATGTACATTTTCTTCTATCGTTTCTTTAGCATACCAGTTAACAAATTATTTACAGGTAAAACCAAGTCGAATCCCTTGTTTCCATTTCGCAGTATCCAAACTATAAAGCATATTAAAACGCCAATAAAAGTGAAACGATTTTGCTGTATAGATATGGTAATCTTGAGAAATTCGTTAGGCAAATTTGATCATACTCACCTTTCAGTGTTGATACACCCGTTACCCCCATATCTGAGTTACCATAAACGAACTTTGTATATGCTGGTTCGAGAGAATTTCCGACTGTTTCACTATAAAGCGCACCATTCACGGAGGGTAAGGTAGAAACAATTGGAAGGCTGTCAGTTGCCGTGGATGATACAGGTGGCTGGTCAGCACTGGAAGTCGAGGGAGCGCCCCACCCACCCCCACCCGCGGGAACAAGAGAAACTCGACTGTCCAGACCGCCTGTTTCAGCCTTGATACTGGGGACCCAAGCTGGTGGGGGTAATCGGCGCGTTCCCTGCAACTTTCCGACAACTTGCATCCCATATTGTCGCACAGCTACGTAAATTGAAAAAAACAAATATTTGTTTACACAAATAAGCTGTTGTCTGAACTTGACAAGTCTGGCTGAAATAAACAAGATTCCTACACACGCTTAATATTAAACGACTGTGAGCAAACATATTGCTATACTAAGGTAGATTGACAAAGTGCAGATATCAAAGGGTATTCGTCATATTATCGTGATCTGATTCAGGTCATGCTAAGTATGAGTCCCAGCAACCGAATCTTATAATCCTAATCACACTACTCGTGGTTTCCATAAACTGGTATCACAACCCAACTGTCACTAAAACTAATCCTACTTTACGCATCGCCGCAAATTGGTGCAGTAGACAACACTTGCTCCGATCCTCCTCTCACCACCAACGGACACTCCAAGGGGAAAACATTAAACGTCAACTCAACGGTGTTACAAAAGAGCAATGTTTAAGAAACAAAAGTTAATATTCATATTTAGGACCTTTTTGAAACTCGGGAAGACAGTCATTTTAAAGCTGTTAAATCAACTGGTCTTTCCTGTTGTTAGTACAACCACACACTAATAAAGGTAAAGTGTTTGACACAATTTTGTAGTAAGAATAAGTAAGCATTTCTGACTCAAAGTGCGGATATATGCATTAACCTTCAATCTTCATTTCATTCTATGAAAGCTGCAAAAAGCTAGCTTCTGTTGGTCCTTCACGACTCCCTGGATGGGGTGGGGTACGAGAGATGGTTCAACACTGGCTAGAGATGTTATCAGATATGGCTCGGAACAGAGGCCAGTGGCGATCCTGCTGTAACCTTCTTTTGCTTTCTTCATAAAAAGTGGTTGTATCTTCCTTAACTGAAAGAATTCTTCTGATTGCACCTTTCCATCTCCCCCATTATTATTACTACACTACCTTATGCTAATCTTTTCTTTTTTTCTTATACGCACCTTACCTTTTTGCTCTTCCCATTCTTATTATTTTGTGTGGTGCATATATATCTGGTTCCCCCTTGTACCAATATTTATGTCTTTAAACAAATAACTAACCTTCAATCCACACTATACATGGATTTGGGACGACGGAAGTTTACAAAAGAGTGGATTAAAATTCGGAACTATTCTAACACTCGAAATAATGAAGTTTAGAGGTTTATTGGTCATTCGATTTGAACTAGGTACTGAGATCTTTTCTAATATACCTGGAGTAATGTCAGAAAGTGATTCAGATTCTCCCAATGTAGACAAGCAGACTGCAATGCGGTTAGGTACTAAAAAGCTTGTACATTTGATGCAACGAAGCTCCAGTATACTAACATCACAAGAACGGAGGATAACCCGCAAAAAGTAATATACCATGAAGCTGTTTTAACTGGAAGTAGGTAGATATAAGTCTTGCTTGGTAGGCACAGAAGTTGCGTAACGCTCCCTAACCAGCATATTAAATTCTGAAGGCTTACTTCCTTTATATCCGACAATCACTAAATACTCACTAACACATGGACGTGCTAAACCGATTACAACGCAGAAACTGAAGGCGGTAGATGCATTAAAACCCACAGTAAGAGCAGCATTTGAGGCAATAATTCGGGTTAATCTCATCTAAAAGACCAGAATACGACTAAACCCAATAAAGTTAGAATCCCTCTCAAAACACACAATGAAGTCAGAAATGCCTTACACTCAGTCAAGGTAGTCTGTGTTACTAAGGCTACAGAATTCGATAGAGAAAAGGCCAAGTTATTTTGATGATCTAATGACATTTAAACTTGTAACTGGCACCAAAAAACACAAAAGCGTTCCTGTACGAACATACCACGCCTTATTCGCAAGAAAAAAACTAAACAAAAAGGTCTCCCCGATTAGAGTAGAAAACCCTAAGCAATTCCGTATGTAAATAGTCGGACATAAGACAGGTGCCAGTAGGATATATAAAATCTTACTTGGTTTATGTTGAGGTTCTGTAGTATTTCCTTTGTAAACATGATTAATATTTGACTGAGCAAACTTCACTTTTGTCTTTTCAGACTTGACTTTTGAACTCATTCTGTGATGCCAGCATTGGCTTCTGGAACCAGCTGGTTTTATGACACGAGTTTAACGAAGGACCGCTGAAAGTGTATGAAACAAAAAACAATTAAAATCTGGTACAATTGCAGATCAGGAGAAAGCGAGTAGCACAAATATTAGGGAACGACATGCAACATACATCAAAAGCCGCCCTAACAACAATGGTGAACGAAAGCTTAGCTCTTAAAAACAAACAAATTCCAATACTAAGCGCCAATGATCAACATGTTCAGTTTTCAGTATTAAGAAGAGAAAATCATTCAAAGTATGTTAATTCCAGCAATTCGTCAAACCTGATGAATGTGAATTCGCCTTGCCTAAAAAGTGGTACTTGGGAACACACTTTGGCAAAGGAAACCCAAACCAATTCTATCGGCGCGCTTTTCGAACGGGAAGATTAGTTCAAACGTGATTGGCATTTCTCAAACTTTTGCTGTGTTCTTATGCAACAAAAGTACCATTACTGATCTAAGGAATCAATTCTGACCTATACATTCTGTAAATTACTTTTCATTTTTAGTTTAACCCAACTTAATGACGAACTGCGGTTTTTTTGCCTCAGCTTACTAATCGTTTTTTTCAGTTTTTCACGTAAAGGCTAGTTTCAGTTTATCCTAAACATTCTTTGTCCATTTTCGCCCTTTTTAGTGTACTGTTTTTCTTAAGGTCTTAAGCTTTTGCTAGCACCCATAAAACAGTTTATGTCAATATAGTCATGAAAAATCCATGCAAACGACCTGGATTCCGTTTTGCCGTTACATCTGACATGCAGCGTGATAGCTGCAAAGGTTGGTTCCATGAAGCGTGCACAGATCTCACAGCAACTGCTTACAATAGACCCAGTAAGTCGGACCATAGGTGGAAATGTATCATATGCAACACGGATGCTGAAGTTTTGCTGAGTAACATCATTGTCCTATTGACAGGTCTGCGGAATAAGTTGTCCGCAAATTCGGAAAAATACAGTCACAAAACGGGTAGACAAACAAGAACGCTCAATGGAAGCAAGAAGAGAGGTCTTGACAGCGCTACTATCGATGGAGCATGCATTAGCACTAGTGATGACATGCTGAAACTCAGCATCACAACGTCGACGGTAATAGACTCCCTCAGCAGACTTGGGTCTGCCAGCGAAGAATCCCTACGCGCTCTATTTAAAAGGACAGTGGTATTCTTTCTCGTTGAGTTAATTAACTGTTTTGATCGTAAATTACGCATCAAAACGACTGTTTACACTTTAATTGCATCTACCCCAGTTAAAGTGATATTGTATTGAGTTTTTCGATTTTGCTTCTGTGTATTTATTGCATCGAAGCATACTTAGTCGACTTTTACTTGATTTATTTAGTTAAGGTTTGAAAATCGTTTTACATATCCTGTTTCTGTCACCGTTCTAGTTGATTTTCAAGATGGCTAGGTCTACTCATGTGGACAACCATACTGCTTATTTCCCGTGGATGAAGAGATGCAATGTTATGAGTGTAATAAGTGGTTCCATAAGGTATGCACCCGATTAAGCCCCACTGCATATAAAAGGTGCTCAAAGCCCAACTCTCATTGGCTTTGTAGTTTTTGTTGCTCGAGCAAAACATTGCTTATCCAGGAAGCAATTAGTCTCCTGGTGTTGGCTAATAAGAAGGTTGATGAGGGCTGTACTGATAACATTGGTACGGATGGCGAAGATTGCGTTAGTGTCGTAAGTGCTATCACGGCGCAAGCCAGACATCTACCTGTGCAACCCGCAGTTAAACGTTCTCCCCCGAAACGATCAGTGAGTGACACGTCATTACACGTTGGTGGCCATATTGCTACAGCAGCAACCGCTGACCCAGATAAAACAATTACTGTCCCGAGTTGTTCTAATGTAGACGTTTCGACTGATGGAAAATGGATGACGCGAAAACGCAGAAGAGTAGGAAAGATAGCTAAAACTAATGACCGTTTACTTGAAAAGTCCTTGGTGGACTCTCAGACCAATCCGCCAAAGTCTCATAGTAAAGCTTCGTCTGACATTGTTGTGGATCATTTGCTTGACTCCCAGGACTCTGTTAAAATAAAAACTAATCGTAAGCTACCAGTAGTTAAAATACAGGATCTATCGTCACGGTCGAAAGCTGTGAACACAGTTTCAAAGGAGGCTAAACCCCTTCTTAGTTTAATTATTTGGAATCTAGAGGAGTCGAAAGACAACGACCCTGCTAGAAGATATGCACATGACCTGCAGTTAGTGGAGTCTGTGGTAAGAAATGTACTACCTGAAGAGGTTTCAGGGGTACATATTACAAAGGTTATACGACTTGGTAAATGGGTTGGAGGCGAGACCCAACCAAGAAGAATCCTGAAGGTGGTTCTCGGGAGTTTCGAAGAAAGAGACATATTATTGAAAAACGCACCAAAAACTCGTGACTCAAATATCCGTATTCGACCAGATTGGCCGCTTGAGGATCAAACCAAGTGGAAGAATGCTCTTACGGAGTTGAGGACTCGCAAATTAAATGGCGAAAATAACCTTACCATTAAGGGTTTTCGGGTAGTCAGGTCTTGGAAGCCAATGCTTCCGAGGCCTGTATGGGTAGAACGATTGATTTCCAAAACACCTTAAGTGTGTGCTACACGAACGCTCGTAGTCTTAGAAATAAAACGTCCGAGCTAAGTCTGATGGTGCAAGAATTATGTCCCGATATAATCGTTGTTACAGAAACTTGGTTCACCGTTGATGTAGACTGTTCTCCTTTCATTGCTGGTTATATCTGTATCAGAAGTGATAGAGTTTCAAGTCGCAAAGGGGGAGGTATAATACTATACGTTAGGGATCACTTTCGTATACAATCAACAATATCGGAGGCTCATATCAGTTGCACATGTGAGGTTGCATGTTGTAAGATTAAATCTAGAAGTGGGTTAGTGACTATAGGGGGAATATACCGTAGTCCGTTTTGTCTTGCTGACGACTTTATCCCAAGACACATCTGTTCTTGGAGTATGGCAGAATGTTGTCTCATCATTGGGGACTTCAACGCACCGCATATCAACTGGATAGAGCTTACAGCTCCAGGTAGTGGTTTCGATAGCGACATTTTATCTACCGTTATTCAGTGTGCACTTGTACAATGTATCACAAAACTGACACATATTGATTCCAATCATGATCCGTCACTGCTGGACCTCGCCTTCACCCACCACTGTGAGGATGTCTTTGATATTCAGCACCTTCCCCGACTAGTGAACAGTGATCACGCTGTAATTCACTTTAAGTTTAGGACACATGGTATACAATTCGTATCTGCACCACCCCGTCCCAATATTTGGCGAGCCAATATTCCGGCGATCAGACTGGAATCCTGTATGTGTGTTTCGGAGACACAGCACACATCAATGGAAAGAGACTCTAGGGTTTTAGCCAAGGAAGCCTGCTGACCGATTTGACATAGGATGCGTACGTTGAAAGCTCCAATGTGTAGTGTGGAGCGAGGTTTCAATAGACCTGGGACAGTGTTTTGAGCACTAGAATCGTTGGCTATGGTGACACTTGAGGAGGAAGCCGAAAGAAGAAGTTTAGAGTGGAAAGTCGATGTAGGAGGAATAATAGAAATTGAAGAGGAAGATTGATTATGAACACAGTGGTCTTGAGTGCTGTTAGAGGTATGAGGGCGGTAATCACTTCCCGGTTGCCCACACCGTGTAAGGGTTCTTCTGGAGGTACCTGAAAAGGAAATTGGATTAGAGGTGGTCTCAGTGACCTGAGAGCGTGACCGCAGTGCCCAGGGGACAACTGCTTGAGGCCGGTCGCGCACGGCCCTTTCGTGGGAGATTTTTGACGTGTTAGCTCCGTTCTTCAAAGGGCCTTACCGCCGGAGATGGATATCCGTGGGTAAGGTGAGGTGTGCATTTTTATGGTCGACCTTTTCTAACCCCACCCCTCCTTGTGGGAAGGCAGCATCGCTACCATGCTGGTTGTCTGAAGGAAACACCTTACTGCTGTCACACCTCTGTACAGTCGGCAGTACGCTCTTCAACCGACCTGTCTGACATGGTAGGACCTTGAGGAACGGTTGTTCCAGCCAGTATAGCTCGGTTCCTTCATCACGATAGGCAACCTCGACCACCACGTCAAGGTAGCAACAACGGTCGAGAAATTCACAGTTATATAATACACCCTTGTGGGCCAGGGTAATTTTACATTGCTTTTCAGGAGAACCAGACACCATCCGGACTTTCACGTAAAAACCCAAACAGTGCAGCTCAACCCCGTTTAGCAGAGGAACCAGACACCGTACAGGCCTTAACGCTACAATCTGAATAGTACAGCTCAATCCTGTGGCGCAACCAAGAACCCTGGTGGACCAGGGTTCTCTACGTTTATTGTAACAAATACTTGTCCCACTCACACCGAGATACCAACCATGGAATCTGTATAGGTGACTGAGGAAACTGTCCTTCCGTTGATAACTAACCTCAAACCTGGTAAGACACCGGGCCCTGACGGGTTACATCCACGGTTGCTGTCATCTCTTGCGGACATTATTTCGAAACCGCTTGCGACACTCTTCAACATGTCCCTTTCACTCCCTCAACTCCCTAGAGATTGGAAGGACGCTATAGTCAGTCCTATATTCAAGGACGGTCAGTGACAGATAGTATCTAACTACTGGCCTGTCAGTCTAACTAGCATAGTCGTTAAGTTACTCGAAAAGATAATTCGGGTTAGGTTGCTAAGCCACATAGATTTACACAATCTGTTAGCTCCTGAGCAACACGGATTTCGTAACAAGCGTTGATGCTTGACTAACTTGCTTATTGCGAGGGAGGATTGGACAGCAGCCCTAGATAACGGTCTGTCTGTCAATGTGATATTCATAGATTTTAGCAAAGCGTTTGACAAGGTTTCACACGTAGGTCTTATGCAGAAGCTCACGAGCTTCGGAATAATAGGTACTGTACATGAGTGGATAGGAAATTTCTTATGTGACCGCAGACAGAGAGTTAGGGTCAACGGAACGCTATCCGATTGGAAGCCGGTCAAAATTGGTGTACCCCAAGGCACCACCTTAGGCCCTCTGCTCTTCCTTCTCTACGTTAATGAGTTACCGCTGTTACTTAGGTCGTCGACATTATTGTTTGCAGATGATGTAAAAATCTGGTGAACAATAAAAAGTGCGGCTGATCATCTGGATCTTC